CAAGAAGCTGTAGTACATGCAGTGGAAGAGGCATGCTAAACCAGGCTGAAGGGAACTGACAGGCCTCAAATCCATTGGTGAATTAGGGGGATGTCTAACCCTGAAGCAGAATGGGTGGATCAGAACAATTTGTTCCAATGGACAGGAAGGTGGCTCAAGCAGGTACTGCGGAGCACTTAGGGGCTGGTCAGACATTGAAAATTCCAAGGTCACCCACTGCATCCTGGGCCACCGCCAGACATCTTGACAAACCACAGGACTTCAAGGACTCTGGAAGAGAGAATGAGCCTCATTTAACTCTGCCTCACTTAAATCCAATTCACCCATGAGTGGACATCCCCTGAGATGTCATTGGTCCTCTTTGAAAACAAAGGACAAACAGGAAAAACAAAAAGTATATATAGCACTGCATACTTTTTTTTCTTCAAGCATTTGAGTTATTATTAGTGAAACTCTTAAAATGGAGGGTACAGGGTTAGGGGGCAGTGGTGCTGCCAAGTGTATATAGGAATAATATTTCTTTAAGAGAGCTGACCTTGGGCAAATGATTTAACATCTTGGGATACATTTCCATCATTTTTAATATGAAGGTGTTGGACTAGATGGCGTTTGAGGTCCCTTCCACCTCTTTATCTATAATCTTAAATTCATTATAAATAAGTCGATTATTTTGTTTCTTTTTCCCTTTGAAGAGGAAAGGGGTTGTATTTTTGCTAATGTTACTAATGAATTTTAAAAAGCTTATCAAGCCTGAAAACATTTTAATCTTTCTACCAGTGTCTACTGTTTATCAGGGAGTTGGTGGCAGAGTCAGGAATTTTCAGTTTTCTCAGCTGTAAAATGGGGGTACTGGCTAGATGACCTTTATGATGTTTTCTGGCTTCAAGGTTCTATAATTCTCCAGCTTTATGCAAACTTCAGGAATATGAGGGTGGAAGTGGTTTTTAACAGTAGGTAGTTACTGTGCACTTTAAAATAAAGATTTTAATCTTATCACCACGGCTATGACTAGGACTGTTGAATCAGCAATATATACATATACATGTACACATATACATATATAGGCAGCTAGGTGGCACTGTACATACAGTGCCAAGCTTGGAGTCAGGAAGACTCATCTTTTCGAGTTCAAATCCAGCCTCAGGCATTTATTAGCTGTGTGACCCTAGGCAAATCACTTAACCCTGTTTGCCTCAGTTTCCTCATCTGTAAAATGATCTGGAGAAGGAAATGGCAAACCCCTCCAGTATCTTTGCCAAGAAAACCCCAAAAGGGGTAGGAAGAGTCAGACGCTATTGAGGTCTAGAAGTTTGAGGGTTCTGGGACCCCAAAATCATGACAAAGTCACTTCCTGCCTGAAAGAATTCGACCCAAGCCTTCTTTCAGCCAAAGACAAGGTTCATTAAAGATGAGCCATATAGGCCAGACTCTTAAAGAATCTGACCATTTGTGTTGCCTGGAAAGATGGGCAGGCATGAGGAAGTCTCAGCCCCTAAATGGTGGCCAGGACGGATCTTATATACAGAAAGACTATGGGAGGGATCTAGGAGTGGTCAAGTAGTTTGGGGTGATTAGAGGAGGGGGCTGGGAGAAGGGGTGTCTTGATGGGAGTGGCCAGTACTGGAGGAAGAGTTTAGGGAGGATCAGGAATTTAGGGAGGATCTTGAAGCTGGGGTGACTGGGGGAAAGGTCCTGGGAGAATCCCAATGGGAGTGTCTGGGAGGTTGAATGGGGTCTGGATAAGATCAAGGATGGGAAGTATAACCCAGGGTTATCAGGCCAGTAATAGACAATGGAGGGCTAGGCTTAATTAGGGTAACAAAGAACTGGGAGATAGGGTGTAGGTGACAAGGAAGAGTCAGTTGACAGGAATAAGAATAAGAATAACTTCAGGGGAATGCTAGACTTCCTTGACCAGGTAAAAGTTCAAATAGGGTTCAAGGGCTTTCTTGGGCCTGTAGACAAATAGGACCCAAATTCTTTTTGGGGTGAGGGTCAAAGGTCTCGGCTTTGGCCCATACCCCATCAACACGATGGAAAATTACTAAAGAACACACACACACACACACACACATATGTATATATATATACATATACGCATACATATATGTATATATATATATATATATATACACACATACATACACATATATATACACATATATGTATATAAGTGGGATTGTATTTAATCATCTCAGCCTACATTTAATGTTAGCTACACATAATAAAGTAACAAAGGGCCTAGAACTAAACTTCACACTTGCTAATTCCATTTCCTTTCTTCTGGGACTCCTCAATCCTTTGTCATTTACCTTTGACTTCATTTATTGCAAAGAAACTGCCCTCTCCACGGTTACTAGAGTTCTCTTACTGGCTAAATCCAGATATGTTCTTACCCTTCTTGACATCCCTGCAGCATTTGAAACCACTGACTACCTTCTCCTCTCTTTTCCTTGCATTACGATCTAATACAGGGGAACAAAACATGCACAAGCGTGACTAAATTTGAAGGTAGAATGTGATAGACCTAAGGGGAAATCCAGACATGTTCTCAAAAATTTTGAGTAGAGAAAATATTTTCAGGGGAATGGGAGATTGGTTTTAGGAAACAAAAGGAGACATTTTAAGTTTTTCTTGTGTTTTTGTTTGCTGTTATGAAAGTTTCCATGCTCTCATCGTTCTTTTGTCACTTCTAGTCTCTTTTTTTAAACCTTTCTTAAGACAAAGAGCAAAGTGACTTCAACTGAATTCGATTGATCTTGCATCTCATGCTCTGCTTGGAGGCCCTAGGCCTAGGAAAAGTGGCACCAGTTACCAGGCCTGAAAGATGTGTAAGTGGAAGGCTGAAGAGGAGAGTATCCAGGTGTTGTCTATGCATTGTCACACCTTCTTCAACAATTAAATAAACCTTTATTAAGTGACTGCTACCTATTCTGGGTAAGGGACTGAGTGGGATTGAGACCACTTACCCAAATAAAAACTCAGAGGTTTCTCCAGGTAGAAAACAGAAGTTTTATTCTAGTAAATCTCGCAGGAGAGCTGGGTGTCACCTACCCAGGGCGGACTGGAGTAGGGAGGCAGGATCCAAGCAGCAAACAAGCAGTTATATACCCTTAGACAAACAACTCCAAGAACCCCACCCCCCCACTTTTTACCTGAATCTCTTTCTCCCCATTGGCTGAGGTAAGAGACAAACTACTTTACCCAGGAACTAAGAGAGACATTTTACCCAAAACAAGCTGGGAAGCTAGCAGATCACCTCATTTGGCAAAGATAAGGCTGGGGTAGTGGTTACAAAACAAGGGAGGGGGTGGGCAGCTGGTGTAGGACTTTATTTCCCCTAAAACATAAGATTTACAGGAAAGTGAAACTTAGGCCCAGCTCATGCTAAAGCCTTACTACATTTTTGGAGCACAGCTTCCATTTTATATGAGAAACTTTCGGTTGTCCCACACAGGATTGTACCAAGTGGTTGGTGCTACCAAGCAAAAAATCACAATAAAACCAAACCAAGACTAGTTCCCCAGGAGGCAGCTGGGTTATACAGTCCACAGAGACCTGGATTTAAAGTCAGAAAGCTCTCACTTCAAATTCAGCCTTCTTTACTAGCTGTGTGACCTTGGGTAAGTCACTTAATCTCCCTCTGCTCAGTTACAAAAACATATTAATAACAATAGTTGTGGCTGATAGGGGGCTCAGTGAGTCTGGAAGACTCATTTTGCTGAGTTCAAATCTGGCCCCAGATCTTTAACTAGCTGTGTGACCCTAGGCAAGTCACTTAACCCAGTCTGCTTCAGTTTCTTCATCTATAAAATGAGCTGGAGAAGGAAATGGCCAACCACTCCAGTATCTCTGCCAAGAAAACCCCAAATTGGATCACAAAGAATCAGACACGACTGAAAAATCACTGAAACAACAATAGCCAGCATTTGTTTAGTACTTTTAAGGTTTGCAAAGCACTTTACAAATATATCATTTAATCTTCACAACATACTTGGGAAGTAAGTGCTATTATCACCAGCTTCACCTGGTTGTTGTGAGGATCAAATGAGATGACATGCAAACACCTTAAAGGGTTACTGTAAAGACTAGACGATGACGATGATATAACCTGTGTTGTTTAGTCTTTTCAGTGGTGTCCAGCTCCTCCTGACTCCATTTGGGGTTTTCTTGGAAAAGATCCTAGAGTGGATTGCCATTTCCTTCTCCAGCTCGTCTCACAGCTGAGGTTCAGTAAGTAAAAACAAAGTCGTTTTAAAAGGCAGAGGTGAGGGCAGGGATCAGGAAAGGCTTCACGCAGGAGTGGAAACAGAGATAGTGTGTGTTCCAGTCCTGGGCCATTCGCCCACCTGTCAAAGACGTGGAGGTGGGAGCCGCTATCTTGTTCACAAGGAATAGCAGCCACCAGGCCAGTTTGACTTAAACTAAAAATGGAGAGTGCGTGGAGATCCAGATTATGAAAGAAGATTAGAAAGTCAGGTGGGAGCTATATTGTGGACTAAATGTTGGACCGAGAAGTTTAGACTTTATTCTGCAAAGGGCCTCCCAACCTTTCATAGTCTGGCGAAGCCTATGGACCCCTGAGAATTAATTTCTTTTCAAGCATAAAATATATAAAGTTACAAAGAAAACCAATATGCTGACATCAGCTATCACAACAGTTTAGAACCCTTCCTCTAGGAGCTTCCGAAGGTTTTTCAGAGCAGAGAAAAGTCCACGGCGGTGGACACGCGCCCTAGGAATAGGAAGTGGATGGAGGTGGGGCTGGGGGCGGGGGAAGGAAAAGGGCGGTTTCCGCCCAGGTCATTTCCGCTGTTTTCCTGTAGGGGGCGTTTCAGCGGCGGAGATATTCCTTCTCCTGGGGTCCAGGCCCGCATCATTTCTGTCACGATTTGCGGGCGTGGGACCAAAGGTCGTCGGCTAAACTGGCACAAAACGCCGGAAGGGTGAGGAGGCCCAAACTTACCCCACCGCCCTCGAAGGACTGAAAAGATGGGAAGTACGACATGCGGGGGTGGGGCGGGGCGGGGGGAGGGGCAATCTGCACCTGCGCTAGGCGCGAGACTCTGGGCGTGAGCCCTTCCCCTCCCCCTGCTCCTCCCCCTCCAGAGCTTTAGCCCGTGGCACCATGCGCGCGGAGCGCTGGGAGCCGTTGTTGGCCTGACCACTGGAGCCCTTTCCTGCACAGATGACAGCTCAACGGCGGGCCAGGGCCACGGGCGTGGAGGGCCCGCCTTTGGGCGGGCTAGATAGGCCCCGAAATCACGAATACCCTCAGAAGAGCATCGCCCCCTGAAATCCGGCTTTTCCCACCGCCTTAACCACCAGACGCCCTGCTGGCATTCTGTTACTTGAGCCCAAACAACCTCGAACAGGTATAAACCTTGAGGTGCCGGCGGGGTGTCTTCCCGCGTGGCGAGGCGCGATCCTGCTCTGCCGGGGCCTGGAGGAGAGCTCCGGGGCGACCGTTGCCCCTCCCCTCATACTCCTCCCTCCTCCTCTCTCCTTTCTCCTCTCCGTCTTCCTTTCTCCTCCCTTCTTTCCTCTGCTCTCCTCTCTTCTTTCCTCTTCTTCCTTCCTCTCACTTCCCCTCTTCCTACCTCCTCTTTCCTTTCCTCTCTCATTCCCTCTCTTTCCTTCCTCTGTCCCTTCTCCTTCCCCTTTCTGGAGAAGAGCTCCAGTTCATGCCTACCCCTTAGTCCAGCTTCCCTCCCTTTCCCCTTCTTTCTTCTCTTTCTCCCCTCTCCCTTTACTTTCCTCCTCTCTCTCTTTCTCTCCCCTGCTTCTCCTTTTCTCCTTCTTCCTCCCTTCTCACTCTCTCCCTCTTCTCTTTTTTCTAGATTCCCTTCCCCTCCCCTTGCCCTTCACCTTCTTTTATCCTTTTTTCTTCCAGCTTTTCTCTCATTTCTTTTTTTTGGTGCCCAACCAGGGAAACTACCCTCTGCCTCTGCTTCTACCCCAAAAACTGGAGCTAATAGGATAGAATATTCTACTTCCCCCTGAAGTGCAAAAGAAGACTGTGAACTTCAAAGCTGAGCATCCCCATGCAACTCATATTAGGGGCAGGGCATGCATAATTGTTAATGGGGACTAGGGAGAAGAGGATTAAAGCTGATCCGTTCCCCATATCTGTTTATTCCCTTCCATTCCCTACCAGATACATACTTACAGTCATTGGTGATTTCCAGCCCTCCACATATTAGCTATGTGAACATGAACGACTCACTTAACCCTCAGTGCCCTTGAAAATACTCTTATGACTATTATGCTAGTAGCATTTATATTGTAACTGAATTACATTATGTTAGGTCAACTTGAAGATACAGGGAACTCTTCTGCCAATAGAAGAAAATCATCATTGCTCAAGCTGTAACAGTCACATATTCCTTTCTTTTAGTATCATTGTAGAATGGTATGACAATAGGAAGGCTTTCTTAAGTGCAAAGAAACAGACAGTTCACTTGGGACCAGTCCTAAGATAGATCTTTGGTCTGTCCAGGAGCTCAGAGGCAATTTGGGATCTGGGCCATTTCTAATCCCGTCTGTACTCAAGTACTCAACTGTACGTTCTCATTTGGTGTTTTTTCCTTCTGGGGAAGTAGGTAACAACCCATCCATTCCTGCTCATTACAAATATTCTAAATGAACATATCCGGTCTTCACAATTCTTTAGGTCTGGCCACCAAAACACTTCACAGTTCTGTTGAGGAGTTCACAAAGGAAGGGCCTATTCCTATTCTTTTGGAATGCGTAGCTGGCTATCTTTCCTAGTCCAATGTCCATAGATCAATTTCCTGATATCCTGTTTGGACCCCTTGGTTATAAAGGATATTTTTCCTTGATCAGAGGAAAGGTTCTAGTGCTACTTTATTTATCAGCAGGCTAGCCTCCAAACCAAAAGTGGTCTGTGCCTTATTTCAGGCAATTTCCTTTATGGAATATCACATCATATATTACAATAACCTCTTTCTGCAGCATATCCACCATTTTCCATTTCTGGCACTCCTCTGTTATACCTGTACCCCCAGAATGTTATTTCATCATGAGTCTACCTAGATCTGTCTATGTCAAAAATGGCCTGTCAGGCTCTTCACTTGGCACCCTATAGAGCTTTTATACAAACGTTTGAAATGTCCCATCTCTTTAGCTTCCTGACAGTTCTAACCACTTGCTCCTAATTAGCCTAATCAATGTATTGATGTAATAATGCCAAATCTGTAGGCACATAGTGGTGATTCTACTTCTCTGCCATTACTGGCTTTTGGGGCAGCACTGGAATTCTAAATTTATTCTCTGTGATCCCATTGCGTTCTTTTTAAATACTCAAATGGACTCTATAATCTCACTGTATATTCCTTCAATCTCTGTCTTTTCATCATCTTTTGCTCTTGTTCATGTTGGCTCATTATTTCACCATAGAGTTAACCCAAATTATTGAAGGCTTTACTTGTTTTCCCTTGATATTTTGAAGATATTAGTGGAGCATGCAAGTTGCCCATTCATTAGCTTTATTTTGCTTTTATCAAATGATCAACCCATTTATTTCACTCATACATTTCTTTGATGATACCCTTTATATCACTTCTCCTTTGTAAGACCTTATTTGTAATGTATTACCGAATTTAAGAAGATAGAAAATGACTTCTTATTGACCTAGGAGTCATTCTTGAATCAGGTGTTTGTATATAGTAAAATATTTATATTTTATATACATACACATACGTCTCCATAGTTAGAATATAAACTCCTTTGGGGCAGGGATTGTTTAATTTTTGTCTTTGTATCACCAGCATTTAGCATAGTCCCCTGGCACATAGTAGATGCTTTAAAATGTGGTGTCATTGAATGCCAACCCATTGAATGAGCCATTGACTCCCCCTAGCTGATGAAATAGATCCAATTATATCCAATTAGAACCTTATAAATACCCAGTTTTCCTTTCATTAAGATCTGTCAAACACTTATTTTGCTAAATCATAGCTATATTCTCATTAATAAAACTAAGAATGTGAACTATAGAAATAGTTTATAAAATCATAATGATTCTCACCAAACGTTCCTTTTACTTGGAAGCAGAACCCAGGTTTCCCTTGATCTTCCACATCCAGAGAATTCTTGACACAAACATGTCCTGACCTACAAATTTCCCAACTATATGCAGTCCTCCATTACAGCCAGTTCAGGAGCTAAGTCTTCTAATCACCTAATTCAGAAGACTGCTGAACTACTTGGTCGAATGTCTCCTTTATCTTTATTATCAAAAATAGCATATTCCTTTTGGCATTAATTTCCCTGTCTGACACCCTCTTTTTTTGGTTCATCTGACTAACAAGTCAGTCTTTTAGTATCTGAAGGCTACTACTATAGATGAAGAATTTGATGTGTTCTTAGCCCCACAGAGAAGAACCAAGAGCAATAAGTAGATGTTTCAGAGGCCAATTTTGACTCATGCTTCCTAACGAGGAGAACCATTCAAAAATGGAAGGGGAACCTTGGGAGGAACTTGGAAGGAGTCTTGGCAAAGGCTGATTGACCACTTATTGGTAATGTTGTAGGGGAAGGTCTTAGTTATTTGGATTAAATGGCTGCTCCAGGGGTGTGCTGGACTCATTGCATACCAGACAATTGAAAGCTACAAACAGGATTTGGTTTGTTGGCTTGTTTTTTTTTTGGATTGTCTAGACTCATGATGGATAAAATGTCAGTAATGCAGATTAAATTTAAATGTGTCATAAATACTTTTTTTTGGAGAGTCATTTGTTAAATATTTACCAGCACACCCTTGCTGATGTGCCTGCCAGCTCTGAGTTTCTTTGAAGTATGTTTTGTTTGGTTGTAGCTTTTTGGTGTGAACAGTGGAAATCATATGTCATATCTATTGTGGCATATTATACTAGATATGTATCATTGGCATATTACTGCCTTATTTATTATATGGTTATGATTTATGTTCCTGATTTATGTCTCTCTGTATCTTCTTTTGAAGAACACCTAAAAGTTATATTCTTCATTTTTTTTTTAGTATGTGAGGTCGGCCAGTATAGTAATCAACTTCCTTAAGTCTAGCATTTGTTTCAGAAGGGATACTCTTTACCTTCTTGCTAATAGGTAGAAGTTCATGCTCCTAAGGTAGGGAGAGAAGGAATGCTGAGAAGTAGAGAATTTGACTTGGTTTTGGCAAGCTTTGACCTTACATAGTGCTGTGTAATGCTATGTGTACATTTACACACGCACACAATCAAAGGCTTCCAAATATTCATTAAACCAGATTCTACTGATCCTTAATACAGTTTCTTAAAGTAGATTAGGCATTTTTGCTGGGCATATTATGATTCATTACTAATGTGTATCCTGCCTCTCTAAATTAATTCAGAGTTGCTTATTTATGCCAGGTTATATAACTCAGACATTGGAATAATCTGAGTCATTGCATTAAGAATAGTACATTAAGAAGAGGATGTCTTTTTAAATAATGAAACATAGTATTTTTCTCTGATTATTTTCATCTCCTTTCCTAGGAAGAATAAGAACCTACCATCTAAACTTTGGAAGATACATAAAAAGCAAAATGAAGTCATCAAAAGCTAAAATTGCACCTTTTTCTTTAGGCGTGGAAAATCCAGGATTAGCTTCTAAAAAAGTTTCAACTATTTCAGCAGCATTGTCTAAAGCAAGGAAAAAAAGTAACACAAAATTTAATAATGAAAGTGAATTAATGTTCCTTGCTCCTCCACCTGTAGGAGAGTCAATGCTAAAGTATGCCATTGCTATTCCATCTGAAAATGCACAGAATGCTCTAGGTGATGAGCAAATTGTTAGGCAAGTTGCTAATCATCTTAAGGAGGTAAGAAACTCTTTAAAACAGCTACAGTTCTACACTTTTGATTTCTGAATTTGTCTTACTAACTCTTGCTTTTCAGAGATATAGTCCTATTTTCCATGTATAAAAAAAGCCTGCTTCATTTGGCCCCTTCCTTTGGAATTGTAGGTAGAATATAGATGTATTTTATTGGGGATAAAATTCTAAACTGCTTGAGGACTGTTTCATTTTTGGTTTTGTATCCTAATTGCCTAGCACAGTGCCTTGCTTTCTTGCTTGATAGGTACAGAATCTGAAAGTGTTTGAGGGTCAGTGGTTTAGAGGAAATGAAATAGACTAAGCTGAAATGAATATCCTTTAGTAACTTAGATGATTACATTAAATATGAAGTGTGTCACTGGAGAGAATTAATGGCTCTAGAATAGATAACTGCCTATGCAGAAGAGACCCAGTCTTGGTTAGTTATGTGTTTGTGGTAAGTATATTTTAATGATATTAAGTTTTGTAATCATGTTATTATTTTATTGTTTGTGTTTGGCAGATTTCTTCTTCTTTAGAAAAAGCTTATGGATTTGACACTGAAAAAGATCGATTAGCAGAGAGAGTACCAAGGCCAGAAGGAGAAGAAAGTACACCTGTATGTATATGTAACCTTTGTTGCCAAGGCATCAACAGTAATAATGGCTCAGGTTTTCTTTTGGAGTCCACATTTATAAACAGAATGAGAAGCATGCTAGAAAACTTGGTAGTGTTAATTCTGGCAAAGAGGTGTCCTAGTGAAACTGTCCTTTTCCATATGCAGAATTCAATAATCTATGTCTCTGAAGTCACTCAGGTCTAGAGGGATGGACTGATTTATCCAGGATCCACTGGCTACCCAGGCAGTCCTTCAGAGGGGTTATCCACCAGGATCTTCTATGCTGCCTTGTGACAACATTTTCTGGTTGGCTAGATGATTACATCTTTCAGTGTCTTCTTTATGCCTTATACCTACCAGCTGCCTTTCAGAGACTGCCTCCCTTAGATCCACCATCTTACTTCCCTTTCCACTGGTTGCTTACCTGTACTTTGCCCAGCAGTGTGTTGACAGTAGGCCTCTTCTAGGATGTTCAGCAGCAGTCTTCTGAAATGAAAGATAATTTCTTTAGCTTCACATTTCTTAGGTCAGTGGTGCCCAATGGGTTGATCATAATCTATAGCTGATCTTGAAATTTGCTTTACATGGTTTACCTTCCTTCTCAGTGCTTGCAAAAATTCCCTTTGAGGAGAGGAGCATGGCCCATGGCTGCTGTCACAAAACCCTGTCTGTGGTTTGTAAGGATTCACAGCTGAAAGCTATGCTTTACTTCCACTATTGTCATCTATTTGTTACATCATATCCCCCCTCCTCTATCCAAAAATAGTCATAAGATTTATGTGAAATAAAAAAAAATGTCCTTATTGTAAAAAAGATTAAGAATTCCTCAGCTGGATGATTTACAACTTTCTTTCCAGTGATTCTGTGAGAAAAATAACATACTTAACTGCAATAACATACTTTAGACAAGTCTTCAGGATTTTAAAACTATGACAAAACTAGTTAAAGGCGCTTCACAGTTTAAAGAGGACTTTTACATTTACTGTTTCACTTGATTTCAGTAAACCTGTGACACAGGCAGGACAGCAGATGATATTCAGACTCAGAGACTTTATATAACTTGCCCAAGGTCACATTGCTAGTAAATGACAGAACCAGAATTTGAACCTGGGTCTTCTGACACTAAATTCAATGCTCTTTTTGCTTTACCACACTGCTTCTCCTGTTAGGATGGCTGATAATCGTGTAGCCCTGGTGTGCTTCCTTGGTTTCTATAATCTATCCAGCTGTCTACCTTTACTAAGAATTAAAATTCAATTTGTGTAGTGACGTGGGAGCATCTTAGTTCATGTCTCATGGTGCCCCAAGGTATGGACAAGCATGTCCTGCTCAGTGTCATTAATTGGTTCCACTAAAAATTGACTTTAGGACAAACAACATTTCAGGGAATAACTAGATCCATAGGAACAACGTTACACGTGGGAGATACATTCTTGGATGGCCAAAATTTGTATTATTAAAGCTGAAAATGAGAGGGGACAGTGGAGGAGCTTACAAACTGCATGATGAAAAACAGGTAGTTCTACTGGCTTAGAAACAGCAGGATTTTGTGTCTGGTGCAAGGTTGGGTCAGGGTGAGACTTGGTGGAACCCATTTTAAGACTATCCTAGCAAGAGCTGGCTGGAGGTAGGCAACACAAGTAGCCACAATAAAAGATTTTGGGGAATCAGATTGAGTCAGACAACTCCCTGGCATTCCTTGAATTTTTTGATTCCTTTATTTTTGATTTCTTATACAGACAATGGCTCAGAATCTGTGCATGGCTATCAGTATTTCCATTTTTCTCAGCCGTTGGATCCTGGCAATCTGTAGATACTCTGGTACCACACTGGCATGACTTTTTAGCTTATACTTGCTCTTAATCCAACCTCTTCTACATAGCCTCCTTAGAACTAGGCAGGGATTATCCTTACCCTGACTGGGGCTTTGCCTAGACACTGGCCCCGGCAAGCTCTGCAGCAGATATTGTGTGACTTTACAAATAGATGGCTTGCAGTACTTTAAACTTTCTGGCAGTTAGGGTCCAGAGATTGTGGAACTATGATGAAAGCTGTTTTGGATCTCTGAAGAATGAACAGTACTGCAAACCCCTTTAGATAACAGATGGAAACAGTGATCCTGTCCTCAGAAAATACTTGGAATCTCTCAGATTTTTTTGCAAGGTAGGTGAGAACCTCTTAGGGTTACTGTCCAAATGCAAGTTGTTTTTAGACCTCTACTCCTCACAGACCAGACCAAGGTGGTGTCTTGCCTAATGGAGCAAGCTACTCATCTGCTGTTCTTTTATGAAAAACAAGTTATTTTTAGACAAGATGGTGGGATGTCTCTAGGAGATTTTTGTAACCATCTTTAGAACTGAGGTGCTTAACAAGGAACCTTGATAAAATGTGCCAATTCCTTGTGGATACTAAGGTAAGATTTGGCATGGAATTACCTTTGCTCTAGTGGATCAAATTTTGAAAGGCCTGGATATATCTGTGTAGAAGGAATTCGTTTAAGTGGATATAGCTTCCAACTTGCCAGCATTTATTTGACAACATGTCTGCACCGAGCCTTAACTTTGGTCATGGCCAAATTAGTAGTGGATCATCCCTGCTTTTCCAGCCTCTCTGATAAAAAGTAGGTGTACAATGGCAACAAGTCAGTATAGCTCAGGCAGTACTGTATCTATCATTATACACCGTTCAGGCCCAGGAGTCCACCCAAGAAGATTAATCACACACAGGCTGCCTTGCCTGACACTTTGGATGAAGGGAGGGTTTGACTTTTACCTTGCTTCCATTTTCTAGACTGATGTTAGCTTTGCTTCATTATCCATTTGCTTTTGCTTCTTGACGTGGAATTCCAGGTTCCCAAGTATTTTGGATGCAAGCTATAGTGGACTCTAGGGTGCCTTTGGGTATCATAAGCTTGTTGTTGCTCTGAAAAGGGTGATGACCCCAGAGATCTTGTGCCACCCTAGTAGTAGTTATAACAATTGAAGGACACTCACATTGTTCCAGACCAGTAACTCAAAAGACTCATCCTCCATGGATGTGACTTAAGTATATTTTTTAACACATAATATTTGAATGTTTAAGAATTTTGGAATTGTTCATACAAGTAAAACAATATGTGAAACAAAGAAAAAGTAAACAATAGAAAAGAAGACAATGCAAGGCAGCCGTCACTGTTTCTTAAAAGTCTGCAAACTTGTGTGCCTACTTAAAGATAATGAATGCTGCTAGTGAGGAGGTCACTTAACACCTTTTTATTCTAAAAATTCACTTGAGGAAACACAGGCTTCTACTTGAAAAATAGAACAAAGACCTAAGAAGTTACCCAGTTTTCATATCCCACTTGCTAGAATCATGGAATTTTCAGATGAACAGACATTGTCTTTACAATGAATCTAATAGCTGGCCCTGGCATTGTAGGCTTCCAGGATGAATCCCTGCCCAGAGCTGTGGTGCACCCTGTCACTGATAATCCTCTTCACTTGCACATACTTTAATCTGGAGGGGACTATTGTTATAGCAAAAACATTTCATAGAGACAGCTGTGGGTATACAGAAAGGAACTTCTAGAGTATGGCCTATTGGGTCTGAAGGAAGCCAAGCTCTGGAGTAAATGTAGTGGAAGATTGTCTGCTTAGCTCTGAAGTATCGTAGTGGTTAGTTGAGTTTTCTATTATGAAGAATATGTACACACTTGTTCCCATTCTTGGTTGACAGAGAAAGGAAACATATGAAATCTTTCCTTCCTAGAAATCCAGGCTTTCCATTTTTATTATGTATTCTTTAGAAGCTATGCTTAGAATGGTTTAATATTTTGACTTTTTATTTTATCAGATACTAATTAGAAACAAAGTAGTAGCTTCCTCTTTGATCATCAAGGCAGTAAATAAATAATGTGAAGACTTGGTTGCCTTTTCATTCAAGGGCAATGTGGTATTGGGTTTAAAGTGTTAAGCCTTGAGTCAGGAAGAACTGGGTTTGAATCCTACCTCAGGCTTTTAGTAGCTGAGTTACCTGGGTAAGTCATTTAACCTTTGAGCTTGAATTTTCTCTTCTGCAAAATGGGGATAATAACAACACCTACCTCACAGGGTTGTTGTGAGGGTCAAATTAGATAACGTATAATAAATGTTTTGCAAACCTTTAAAGCATTACATAAATGTTGACTGTTACTGTTATCGTTCAGAGTGCTATATGAATGTCAGGTAGATGATACGACGAAATATGGATTAGAATATGATAAGCATTTGCTTGTCTTTGCATGTAATGTGCACAGAAACTCTCCCCACTTCATTTATCAGCTTACTAGAAATATTTAATTACCTGAACATAGATACTTAATAACACTGTAAAACAAAGAAAACAACATTGACTGTCTTTGTTAAACACACTGTGGAGGTATGAAGCAATCAGATGATAAGGAACAAAGAGAGAAAAGCAAGGGAGCAGGGTATTTAGGTGAGCTGTTCTTCCAGTGACTCTTGGGGCCTTGTGGAACCTTGAAGAGTTTCTATTAGTTGCTGACAGTAAATAATTACGTATGGATAAGTACTGAAACCAGAAGTTTACCATTAGTTTGTTGCAAAACCTAGATTGGAAGCAATTTATGTGGTAACAGATGGCCAGGTGTTCAGTGTAATTTGGGGGACATCTTAGATTTCCAATGATCTTTCCACCTGTTCCTTCAGGAAAGCCAAGGCTTTTGTGGTTGGGCTTCTTAATCTAGTCATCTAGGCTGTTTGGTGCTACTTGAGCATGAAGATGGTCTTCAAGAAGATAAAAGCATTCACATATTTTTTTTCAAAGAGATACTCTTTGTTTAGAGTCACATTTATTAGCAGTGGCTTGAGTATTGTCCTTACTGTTTTCAATTATATTAGTGACAGGTTTTCTCACCACAATCAGAGTCCTACTTTTGGGAGTAAAAATCTTGATTATTGGGCTTTTGGAGACTCTGGAGTGGTGAGTAAATACAGTTTTGGATCAGGTCACTTGCCTTCTCT